TACTTCACTTTACCCACTCACATCATAAGGAGGGGAATGAATAAGGCACATGTCATAGAGCATGGAGTTAGAATTATTAATTATTAATAATTATTATTAATTATTATTAATAAATGAAGAAGCATTCTGGAAACTGTGATGAGATACTCAAATATGAAGTATTACAATGGTATTTTTTTATATATAGTACTGTTTGAAGTCCTTGTTTCTTTTCTGGTACATATGGGTCAACTTATCATTTAAGAGATAAGTGATAAATAATGAGTACATTCCTGGTATCCTCTACTTCCCAACGACAAGGAAGTAGTAGCTTTTTATTTGGGTTTACCTTGAGACTTTTTTGAGGGAAAATGATTAAATCAAACTATAATATGGGTGGTTTTGTGTTATAGATAAAAGTCCATGAGCCACTTGTAAAAAAACCCACTAAATCTGAGGTTTTTGGCTATGCTAAATAATATTCAACTTAAGTCTCTGGAGATGTAAACTGAATGTGTTATTAATAATGTGACTTATGGAAGCAAGTTCCTAGCAAAAATCTAGCAAGGAAAAATGCAGTCTTTAAAAGGCCAAACTCATTTTGCATAACACTTTTCCTAGGATAAATCTAGCCTTACATAGGAATAGCAGGATGTCTTATTATCCATTCAATACATTTTAATATGAAAACTCTACATTATTGTTTTTATGTATTATTTATAGAGTGCAAGAGGACAACACGGTAGTGCACGGTGCAAACACTACAGGCATAGCCTCTGCCTCCGGGAACACATAATGGAAGACAAATGTAAGCAGGATATTTCCCTACCCTAAACCAGAGGACACAGTCCCACTTTGCCAAACTAAAATGGATCATTAGTAGGACAAAGAAAGAGACTTTGCTTGCTGAAGTCTGACCTAGTTTGACGTCAATCACATGACCACCAAATTGTTTGGTCTTATTATCCATTTAAGGATAGACAGATTTAGGCTCAAAATACAAGTAAGAGGTACTTTCAACCCCAAGGTTACTAAAGGAAGAAAAGCATTGACCTGTGTACTATTTTTCTAAAATAATATGGAAATATGATGCTCCGGGCTAAGTCCCCTCCACTAAAAGTAGGAAACAAGTTGGTAAGTTAATAGCTAAAGGAAAAATATAACTGCTCCACACTCAGAGATGAAGCTGAACTAAATTGGTCTAACCCAATAATTGTGCATTTTTGTAAAGCCTTTAACTCCAGGATCTAGCTTCCAACATTGTGCCTACAGCAGATAACTGGTGCTCAAGAAATACTCAGTTTTATTTCCATAAACTATCTTTACCAATTTTTAATTATTTTTCTTGTTTTTCCTACTTCAGTGATGAGATAATAATTCAGAGTGCTAGATTAATGGTTTAAAATCATAAGGATGCCTTACTTTTGGCATGAGGCCTCAGACAGGGAAATGGAGTTAGTAAATCCATACCCTGCCTTCTATGTCAGCCTGGTTCATTCTGGGCATTGAGTAACACACATATAAATACTGCTGTATGGACAGATACACCTTCTCTCTTCTTAGCAAATATAAGAGAGTTTCATTAAATTCAGGGTTTTCCTATAAACTGCACTCCCATGGAAAAAAATTCTCTCTCATTCTGGTGAAAGAGAATCTGAAGTAGAAGAGGCAGAGGTTGTACTTTCCTGGAAAACTGTAATTACTAAGCGCTTGCCATGAAAAGAAAAACAGACCCAATGCATGGTAGTGGTAGGAAATTGTTTCATTATTTTCCTTTACTTTATTTTATGGCAGAAACCCAACTCAGGATTCTGAAAGTATATGTTGAATCTAACAGGAGAAATTTTACAGGACCCTATTGGAACAAAGTTCTAAGTCAGAGCTAATACCCAAAGCAAAATAAAATCGGTGGAGATTTGCCAGGTCATGAATTCAAGTGACCTCATGTCTCAGGTTTCCTCTTCTTGCTCATTTTCAGGCTCCTCTTTCTCTGGACCCTGTAACCTCTTTGCTGTTTTTTTTTTTTTTTTAACCTGGAACCTGAGAAATCTCTGGCCTTCTGACATAAGGCCCAATTTTTGAGCTGAATTGAACTGAATTACAGAAAAAGAATATTTCTTGAGAGAATTCCTATATCCTTATACGTCTAAGATGTGTATATGCAACAAGTCTCTGTGTTACCTCTGAAGACAGAGTGAGATCTCCAACAGACCAAGTAGTTTCAAGCTATGGAACAGAAAGAAAAAATTATCTAGGAGGGACCAAGGAGCCCTCTGCAAGAAAGAAGACTAACTTTTAAGATAAAGTTTAAAAAGGTCAGATAGGAAAAAAGAGCAGATATGAGGCATAATCTTTGGGGATTTCACAGTTTCACAGATCCACAGAATGGTTATTGCAGCCAGTGGCACATTCTATCAAAGAAAGGGACTGGATAAGGGACAGCAGGAAAAAGTAAAAAATGAAGTTTGTTCAGTAAGGACAGTTTGAAGGTTCACATGACATGTCTTCAGAGCCAGACCTCGTGAAGTCTGGTGAATAATAAAAATTAGACCTTTCATGAAAAAAAAAAAAAAAAGGAGGAGGGAAGGTCCAAGGTTTCATTACCAGTAGACAGAGGAAGAGCCACATGTGTAAATGTGTATGAGTATGTTTACTGGGCTCACGTTTAGGTTTACTGGTTGCCCATAGTAATCAAATAGCACTACGCCTCCCTCAGCTTTTCTATTACCTGTCCTACTCTGTGCCAATTTCCTTTCTCTTCTCTAACACTTCTTGCTTCACTGTTCTTCTTTAAGACATGGGATGGGGATTTGTCAAAGTCAATGAGCACTTTATTACAGTGAGAACGCTCCGTAATGAACAATTCAGCAATTTAATGAGATTCTGTAGATCTGTCTCCAGCCTGTCCATCAAGTTTCACTTCTATAAAGCACCCTGACACTAATCCTCTGGCATACCCAATCTTCACCCTGGGCTGAATATTAGATTCTTCCATGGTGTATTGCATTACTAGTATAACCTTAGCAAAAATTATGAACTTAACTATACTTGAGGCAATATAGCTGGTCTGATTTGATTTTTCTCTATTGGGCTGAATATGAGGGAATTACTTATTTGCTAAGATAAAGCAAAAACAGTTTCTTGTTGCTGCCAAATACCTAAATGGATAAAATTTATGGGAATCTTTTAATTCTTTCTTAAGGACTAGGTATATAAAATAAACACATATTACCTGCAGCAGAAGCCAATTTTTAAAATTCTACATTACAATATTAGTAACCTTTAGAGAGGCAATTATGATCATTCTTAAGTGGACAGTATGGGATTTTTTTTTTTGACACTCTGAAATCTACACATTACCATGTTGATCTCTGGCAGTGCCTTCAGTCATGCCATAAAGAAAGATAGAAGCCACAGGATAGTTGGCTTCAGATCTCAATTCAGTTCAGAAATAATTAAATGCAGAATTCATTCCAAGTCTTTTCTTCCCTTTGGGGAGCAAAGGAAAACTTGGCTACTTCTCCCTTTGAATTGACCAGAGCCATTCTGGAATGATTTGTATTTACAGGGGAGAGTAGTGGACAATTTAAATGCCAAACACTCATATTCACCAACACTTTTCAACCTTTGCCTGAACATATAAGATATCTATATATCTGTATCTATATCTATATCTATATCTATATCTATCTATCTATCTATGGGCCCAAGAAACAGCAAAAATTTATAGCTTAGTCTCCTCACCCTCCCTTGTATTTTCATTGTCAAGCCAGTATGGAATACAAGAGAGATGAGGGCAAGAGTCATTCGACTCAGATTTAAAGCCTGGCTCCGTCTGTAACCCTGAACATGGTACTGAAGCCTCACTTTAATCCCTTGGAAGATGGGGTAATAATAGCCATCCTTCAGACCTGTTGTGAGGATAATGTAGTAAGTTGGTAAAGAACATGGACACAGCAAGCCCTCGGTACACTGCAGCTCTTACTATTATCCCGGGTGGAGGCAGTAATAAAAAGGGAATTTGTTGATTAAAGACAGAGAAAGGCATCAGGACAAAATCACCAGTTAGAGGAGTCAGATACTGAGTAATTAACAGCTACATAGGACTCCATTTTGGCCAGAATTGAAATATTCTTCTAATGTCATTTGAGAAGATACCAGGAATTCACTGCTTCATTGGCTAGTAGAAGACTTGATATTCTCCCTTGTATTTGGTATATTTTTAAAATGATCAAAAAATCATGAGGGCATAGAGCCCTAGAAATAACAATATGGCCAGTTAGTGCTTCAGAGAATCAGACTGAGTAAGAATAGATAAGGAATGGAAAGATGAGCTCTGACTGTTACCCAAAGACACCATGTAAATTGTTCAAGGAGAGTCACTGGGGATGAGCAGAAAAGGATTTAAATTGAATGATCAACTTCAAAACACAAAATATCCTCCTGTCTCCTGACCAAAGGATATGCAAAAATAATTCCATGTCAGGTGAAAAGGTAAGACTTGGAAAAATAGCAATGAATGCAAAATGAGTAAGGAGGAAGATTTTTTTTCCCACTGGAATGAAAGAAGAGCTTCATTGTATTTGAGGTCCAAACCTCTCTAAAGCTCAGAAAGCAAGGTTCTGAATTGTTTATAGGAGAGCCCAGAATTTATTTTTATTCCATGGGTTTTAAATATGCATAAATATCACTTTACAAGCCATTAATTTCGTATCCACTTTAAGAAACCATTTTTATTGTTTGACTCTTATTGATGTAACCATGCCAGGGTTTTAGGAGGCCATGGGATTTTGGAGACGAGAGGATCTGCAGAGTCTCACCTGTGATTTCCTGAGTTAAGTTGAGTCTGTTGAGGCCTCTAAGCCTAAGAACTTATGTTTCCAATCCTTTGTTTACTAACGGACCAAAACTTCCAAACATTAAACCAGGTAAAACAGATTCCTTTGCTGTTCAACCCTTTAATTTTTAATCATTTCATGTCACCTCAAAGCCAAAAGAAGACCCACGCAGGGTGCCCTTACCTGCCAGATCTGCTCTTCACTCAGGGAAGTGAGGCGGTCGCTCTTGAGGACCTCCTGAAGCAGACAATAAGGAAGCGTTAGAACGTCTTCAGGGCGACTCTTCAGGAGTTCAGAGAGATGCTTCACTAAGAAATCGATTACTGCCTTCTCCAACAAAGTGAGGTTAAAGAGGTCAGCAAGTCTGTACAGATCCAAGTAATTAAAGCCATTTAATTCCTGGGTGCCAAAAAATAAAAATGAAAAAGATCTCTTAGAAATCAATCCAAGAAATAGCAAACAAGAAATTCAGATGGACTTACCTACGTTTGCATGATGGGGGGGGTGGGCAATGGAATATGTCCCATTGTTAATGTAAAAGTTTCTCAGTTACAAAACTTGGGGCAATGTTTTAGATTTTCCCCACTTTGCTCCTCTTAAAACCAATACACTTAAAGACATCTTAATAAACCCCAGAAAGGGCTTTCTTATTTCACTGGTTGAAGTTTTACTTTGTGACATTTTAAGAAATATTTTTACCAAATGAAGACAATGATTTTTCTCTCCTTACCATATTTTGTACCTCTTGGGTGATAAGCTTTTTTCTACTTAAAAAAAGTGAAGGTAAAAAAACTGATAAGTTTTCCAAAACTTCAAGTTAAGGACATCTTTGAAAAAAAACAACCCAAACTGACTTAATGAAATCAGCACACAATTTTAAATATAAGGTCTCAGGAAATAAGGAAAGCTCACTGAAGGATAATTACCAAGTAATTGTATAGCAAAGCCATCTAAGATGAAAGATTTTTAATTGTTCTTATTGTTACCCTAAAAATTTCAAACAACTAATGACATCTTTTTCCTCCTTTTCAAAGACTACTGCAGCAATACTTTGTTTTTGGGGATTTTATCTGTCTATGCAAGCCCCAAGGAGTCCTGGTGACATCCTATGAAATTTCTCTAACATCTTCAATAAGGAACCCCAGTGAGTCAATGGTTAAGCACTCAGCTGCTAACTGAAAGATCAGTGGTTCAAACCCACCAGTCGCTTCACAGGAGAAAGATGAGGCAGTCTGCTTCCATAAAGATTTACAGCCTTGGAAACCCTATGGGGCAGTTCTACTCCATCCTGTAGGGTCACTGTGAGTCAGAATGGACTCAATGTCAATCAGAAACGATAATGTACAAGTCCAAAATTCTGTAAGTCTCTACCATAATGCCCCACGAGAGTCATGGCTCTTCTGGAGCCTTTGCTACTGTTACCCTGTGAAGATCCAAGTGGGCCCTTGGGTGAGTCAATAGAAATCTACTTTAAGTTGAATGAAAGTGGGCTGTATCCTAGTTTCCCCTCATTTTTAACTTATAGTTATTAATATTTGAGTAGCATTTTCCAATAACTTAGGATATGTAGAAGGTCATCCAATAGTGATTTTACTATATTGATCTAATTAAGTAATTTTCAGTATACATTTCCCCTTTTCTAGTCAAAGGATTAAAAACTCTTTCTAAGAAATATTCTATTTTAACATATTTGCTTCAATACTGTTTGGGAGTTCAAAGAATATCTTCTAAATCTGTGTAACAGTATCATAGGGTAGTGGCTAGCTAGACACGGGCACTTAACTGTGAGTAGTCTCAACTGAGATGTGCTAGAAGTGTAAAATATACTCCAAGTTCAAAGACTTAGTAAGAAAAAAAAAGAATGTAAACTAAATAATTGATAATTTTTATACTATTGATACCTTGTATTCTGGATATGGTAGATTAAAGAAATTATTATAATTAACTTCACTTGCTTCTTTTTACTTTTTTAAAAAATGTAGTTACTAGGAAATTTTAAATTACATATGTGGTTTCCATTAAAATTCTATTGGACACTGCTGTTCTAAGTAAAACAAAGCAAAACAAAAAAAATATATTGTTGTAAAAATAGCTCTTGCCGTTAACAGCTGCATTATCATCATGACTACCTGATCACATTTTCTACTTTAGATCCTATTTCTGTTGGTGAGAGATGACACTTTATTTATGTTCCTAACAGGAGTCAAGCTAGATGATGTCAGGAATCTGCCATTAGGTTCTGGCTCTTAATAGCTCTATTTGCCAACATGACTAAAGAGGAATACACACTTACCTTTAAAATGAAGTTTACCATAGATGACCACTAAAATCCAATAACTCAACAATTTCGGGGCCCATTCAATCAGTCAATCAAAATATCCTGGCTTCTTTCAGCAGATTTTATCAAAGGAAACCTGAAGATTTTTACTCTGGTGCCAATTATTTCAAAAAATATTTAAACATGTTCTCCATGTCTGATTTTGCAGGATTGGTAATTCCACTCCAGGAGGAAATGATCATGTTACCCTGGAAGGTTGGGTTTTCCTAGAGAATTTTAGGACAATTTCCTCTAGATGAGTAAGTTATTTCTGGCAGGTACATCTCTGAAGCAACTTTAACTCCAGGACCCTAGATAACATTCCAATGCCTTTCTAAATTACTCTACAGCATTCTAGAGGCCTGATGATGTGATGTCAGTGACCTTCAAGTGCCCCAGGCTCATGCCAAAAGGGGTAGCTCATGTCCTAGTGCAAGCTCTGCTAAGAAAACAAGGATTGGCAGGAAGTGCAGAAAGGGTTTTTCCTATTTATTCTCCCACCAAAAAGGTGCACACAACTATGAGTTTGGGACTAGATCCTCTAATGGCAATAAAAAATTCTTTATTCACTATCTTTAGATCTTTATATGGAGATATATGCTAGATATTGAAAAGTTAACAGAAAACTTGTTCTATTCCAATTAGAAATCCATAACTTAATATCAGTCCAATTTAGAACAACACAGAACTAGAGAATTAATTTATTTTAATAGAGTATTTTTAAAGATGTGTTTCTTTATGTTGTATGATAGTTTCTTTTGAAGGTGATTATTTAATGGATTCTTTAACAGTCCTGAAATATTTTTGTTTCCTAGGGATATCATTTTATATAAACCCCAAATACAATGTAAAACAACATTTCAAGTTTATAGTGGAGAGCTGAGAAGGCTAAATAGATCATGTCAATGACTGACTAAACAAAAAGGGGACATTAAACTGACACATATGGAGAGACATCAGTCAATGGTTTGCTTTCCATCCTTGCCTTTTCATTGCATCCCTCTTCTGTTTGCAAACATAATTTCCTTGAATCCAGATGCTTTATAGGTATGTCGGGGTTTCCATGCCCCTTGCCATGCCTGATTAGCTCCTGAGTAGTTAAACTGTAGAAAATGGGAGTTGAGACAAAAAAGAAAACTGCCTTTGTTAAGGACATCATGCCATGATACATGCTGCTACAACTGGGAAGAACAGTCCTCTGTGAGCTTTAAGCAAAATCATTGCTTTTCAGCTTTTGGCTAAGATGACATATAAATAAATTTATCACCAATAATGCTGCTTTTAAGGATTTTCATTAATGTGATGAGGGTAGGGGGGAAGCCATGGCTAAATTGCATTGAAATGCCCATCTATAATGGGATTGAAACAAACAAAAAAAAAAACTTTGTTTTGGAATTAATGCCAATATGTTTCTGGTTATAAAAGTAATAAATGCTCATTTCACGAAATTCGGGAAACACAAAGTATGAGAAAGAAAATAAAAATCACTCATTATTCAACCATGCAGAGATAATCACTATTAATGTTTTTTGTGTGTATCCTTCTAGACTTGTCATTTATATATCAGAGAATGAGAAAGAATAGTTGCATCAGGACAGAACAAACCATTGGCAACCACAGGCATTCAGAGGCAACTCTTCTTTTGGTGGAGAAGAGCAGGGCTGGGGAGTCAGGTAGACTTGGTTCAAATCCAACTCTGACACTTAAGATTGGCTTTGAGTTTGGGCAAATCACAGAACTTCCATTGTTCCCCATTTACAACATGGAGAGATCAACCAGGTCATAGGGTTGTCTTGGAGACAATGTACATAAGGCACTTACCATCATAACCTAGCATATGCAAAATACAGAGCAGATTTGGGTGGCCAGGAAATATAAGGTACATTAAGCATTAATATTATTGTTATTTGACATCCATAAATTATGACTCATCACTGATATAAGGCAGTCACAATGAAGAATGTGGTTTATTTAGACACACAAGTTTAAAATAATCTGAACCTTTAAGTCAGAGAGATGGAGGGCCAACAAAGCCAAAACCACAGCATTGAATAATAACTTGATTACATATTAATGCTTCCCATATTTATCTTCTAAGTTCCAGATTCATATCCCCAACTGCTGATAAGAAAACATCTTCTCTTGGATAGTCCATGGCTAAGATGAGTCCCACAGCTCAACATGTCCAAATTGAACTTATTTAATGAAAACCTGTATCTCCTCTACCCTCTCTAAGAATAGCTGGATCCAGCCACTCACACCAGAAACCCTGACGCTCTCTTATCAGTCAGCCACCAAGCCCTGTCCTGACTACCTTTCTCCTTAGCATCTCTTGTTCTGTGCCTCATCACTTCCTGTCCAGACTTTTTCCAACAGTGTCCTAAATTAGTATTCCTGCCTTCCTACCTTGATAAAGGAGCCCTGGTGGTGCAGTGGTTAAGTACTCCACCACTAACTGCAAGGTCGGAGATTCAAACCCACTCGCCACTCCCTGGTAGAAAGAGTAGCAGCCTGCTTCTGTAAAGATTTACAGCCTTGAAAACACTGTAGGTCAGTTCTACTCTGTCCTAAAGTGTCTCTATGAGTCAGAATCAAATCAACCACAATGGGCTTTCTTGTGCCTTCAGTATTAAACTCCCCATTTTCTCTCTTTACAATAATCTTACCATATTAATCACCACATATTAAACCCCATTAATAAATTCCCGTTTTCTTAAAGAAGTAGGCCCAAACTCAGTAATATTGCATAGGGTTGACTTGGACCTTGCCAACCTTCTCATGCTGCAGTGCAACAATTCTGCACATCCTGGATTGGTTTGGGCCATGATAACCGCCTATACATTCACATCAATGCCCCTTGGAAATATAATAGCAAGCAAAAATAAGCAAGGCTAGGCCTCCATGGAGTGTAGTCTACTGAGAGAGAGAGAGCCATTAATCAAAAATTTTCACAAATAAATGGAAAATCATAATTGTAGTAAAAGTTATAAAGGGCAGAATAAAGAGTTACGAATGTTCATTGTAGGTGATTAATATAGAGTGAAAACTTAGTAAATGCTTCCCAGAGAAGCTACAATGGAGC